AAAATTGATTTAAAAATGTACAGCTACCTACTAGGCATTAAATTGGAAGAGGAACAAATGAAGGAAGCAATGATAGTATGGGCAAAAAAAATTGGTTATACAATTGAATTAGATAAATGGCAAAAATTGTGGGACAGAAACTACAAATTAACCATGTCAACTGCATACAAAGAAAATTTGTATAAGATGTTTTATAGATGGCATTTTGCGCCAGTGAGGTTGGCAAAGATGTTTAAAGATAAGTCGGCTAAATGCTGGAAGTGGCATCAGATACCTGGGTCATATTATATGTAGTGGATATGCCCAAGAGCAAAACAAATTGGACAAAAATACATATGAGGCTGGAAAAAATGATAAAGCAGCACATTGATTTAAAGCCAGAAATATTTCTATTGGGGATTCTTCCCGAAAAATATTGTAAGGGAAATGCATATTTAATTATTCACATATTTACTGCAGCTAGAATTGTTTTTGCACGAAGTCGGAAGAGTGAAGAGACACCTACAGATGAGAATGTGATTAGGAAAATATTAGAATGTGGAGAAATGAAGAGACTAATGCTTGCAACTAAGGAGAAAGAGCAAACTGAATATTATATGACATGGGACTTATTTTATCAATGGTTAAACAGCAAAAATGGAAGTTAGAAAAAAGGAAACAAAATGAAGAAGATATGTTAAAAGAGAGAAGTAAATATTATTAAAATATTATTATTAAGGTGGTGCAGTAGTTAGAGTGCAGTAATTGCAGGCTACTTCTGCTGACTGCCGGCTGCCTGCAATTTGGCAGATTGAATCTCACCAGGCTCAAGCTTGACTCAGCCTGAGGACCCAGATTGTTGGGGGCAATATGCTGACTCTAAACCGCTTAGAGAGGGCTGTACAGCACTATAAAGCGGTATAAGTCTAAGTGCTACTGCTATTTATGATTAGTATTAATGTTATTATTTTAGCATTGTAGAATTAATACTAATGTAATGAATGATGTTGTAAATTTTGATTACTGTCCAACAAAGATATTTGTACCCAAACGATACAGTTGGAATTGTTAGATTAAAAATAAAAAATTAATGAAAAATATGTGCAACTCTTGGATGGAACTAATCAAGGAGAGAAGCAACCTAGATCCCAGAACTTCCTGTTAGGAGAAACTCCCTAATGGTGGAGAACAGTTAGCCAGTGGAATAGCTTGCCTTCAGGACTTGTAGGCGCTCTTCCACTGGTGGCTTTTAGAAAGAAATGAGCAGGGCATCGGGACAGAACTTTCAGCTCATTCCAGTGACGGAGCACCCACAATCTCTGGAGGGAAGCCATTCCCAAAGAATCAAACTTCATTGAAAGAGGCTTTTTAAATCTTCTCCCCCAGAAGAAGATTGCAGCCACCACTTGCACAGTTAACAGCTGCAGGGGGCTTCAATTTCGGGAAGGAAAGGAACCTGCAGCAGCAGAAGCTGACACGCTTCAGCCTAGTTGCTTCTCTGTTTCCAAGCCGTGGAGGAAACCAAGGAGTCAGATTCGTTTCCGGATTCTTCTCCCACCTGCCCTCAACTCACCTTCCAGCGGCTGCATCGATCCGTGGAAGGGCACAAAAGCCACTCTGCACATCAACTCTGCGATCCAAAAGAGGAAGTTCCTTTGTGCTTCTCTTCTTCTCCCATCCTTTCTAGCAATACAGTACTTGATGGTTTAACTCCTTAAACTCAACCACAGTAGACAGAGCCTGCCTACTGTATTGTGTCAGCTTTCTAGGCTCAGATCTTGTCCCTTTGACCTCCATCTCCGGATTGGAAACGCTTGTTCTGTCTCTGTCTAAGGCGTCTACAAGATGTTTTTACTGATTAAATACTATCAAGTGGTTTTTGACTTCTAGCAACTGGCCTTTGCAACTGAGTCAAGTGAAATAATGAAATGTGATACAACTTAGCTTACAAAGATTAGCTATGTGCTGAGTTCCAAATTTGAGGACCTTTTTAATAGAATTACAGAATCAAGTTTTCTTGGGGGTGTCTCTCAGTGGAGATCAAAGCCTCTCTACCCCCTAAATCTTTATGACTTATTTAATGGGGCTCCCAAGGATTTAGGACATGGCAACAGCATCAGGAGAGAAGCTCCGAGGGAACCAGCTTCACTCCTGCTGGACAGGGCTGCCTCCAAGAGCACCCAGCATGAAGCTTGATTCCTGAAGGAGGAAATTGTATAACAACTGCTAAATGTTAAATGCCATGTGTGAATTCTGTAAATTTATTTGCAGGGAAGACTCCATTAGGTCACAGATAAAGGAAAATATGCGCCAGGGCCTAGAAAATGGGGGCTAAGAAAGAGGGGACAATTGTCAATGTATAGTAGAATCAATATTTCTAAAATGTATTTTGAAAAAACAAAAGGGAAAAATAGAAAATCCCACCAAAGCACATGGCAGACTGATCACCAGGCTAACTTTTTTACAGGGACACACTAAACTGCCATTTTTAATGCTGATCTAGTAAGTTTTGGATGGTGATCGTGGCCTTTTAGCTATTAGATCTAAGCTCTGTTGTATGGAGGAAGCTGAAATATAACCTCAACATATACAGGTAGTCCTGAACATATGACCACAATTGAGCCCAAAATTTATATTGCTAAGTGAGAAATTGAATAATTTTTGCCCCATTTTACGACCTTTCTTGCCACATTTGTTAAGAGAACCACTGCAGTTGTTAAATTAGTAACATGGTTGTTAAGTGAATCCTGATTCCCCATTGACTTTGCTTGTCAGGTCAGAAAAGGGGATCATGTGACTCCAGAACACTGCAACTGTCATAAATATGAGTCAGCTGTCAAGCATCTGAATGTAAAGCATATGACCATGGGGATGCTACAATGGTGGTAAGTGTGAAAAATGGTCATAAGTCACTTTTTTCACTGCAATTGTAACTTTGAACGGTCATTAAATGAACTGTTCTGAGTTGAGGACTATCGTTATTCAATTGATTCTCTTTTCATTCAGGAATCCAAGATGGCATACAAAGCACTTCCTGGGTAGCATGCTGTAATTTACTGGATAAATGTCCTTTTTTTCTTCTGAGGAAATGGAGTGTTTCTCTGATTGGTGACTGGTGGCTTCCGGCCTGGCCCCACTGACCATCTCCTCTGGTGTTTGGTTGTCTTTTAGTTTGCTCAATTTTGTTAGATACATTGAGTTAGTAAGTTTTGGGGGGTCTGGTTTATCTCCTTGTTATTGTAAGGTGTTTTGTTCAGCATTCTGCTATTTCCTTTACATTAGTTTTAATGTTTTCCTTTATACATTGAAATTCAATTAATATTTCTTTATTTCTCCTCTCCACTTAATCATGACATACATTATAATTTTTATACTCTCCCCCCCCCCCCCAAAAAAAAAACAAAAAATTGCAGAATTGGAACAAAAAGAAAAACCATTCTTGGCAATGAACTCTTGCAGTAGCCAGCAAACCACAAAGTCTTTCAATTTGTTTTGTTCTGTTCCTTGTCCTATTTTATTCAGAAATCTGGGTCCATTAAATATAAGTTGTCCTCGCTGAGTTCAATAATGAACATTGTTTTTGAAAGCAAGAATCTGTCAAAGATTCAGAACCTTTTGGCCCATTTCAAGCTTTTCAGCTCCTACCGTAATGACAGTTGTGCAAAAAAAGAAATGGCGCCAAAATGAATGAGAGGAAGGGAAAACTAAATATTTTAATATTTTAAAATTTAGAAACTTTCAACATGTTTAAATTTGAAACTATCTGGCAAAATGGGCAACTTGCCTCTTCCAACTCCTTACAGGACAACTTGACATGACTAACTTGCTGCGGGAGTGAGTGTGTGGGCAGATTGTATAGGCTTCACAGGCTAGTAATGTGGGATGTGTGGGCTGGTGAGCAAGTGCCACCCCCTACTGTTACCACTGCACTGGGCTCCGGGCAAAAGGAGCCAGGGTGGGCAGGGATGTTGCTGGCTGTGAGATCCGGATTCCCGCATGAAAGGAAAGCTAACCAGAAAATTAGTAGGGCAAACAAGAAAAGGGATGCTTTGTGAGGGAAATAAACAGAAAAGATAAGCAAGGGTAGAAGCACACCAATCACCTGCCAGCTTATTATAATTCCCACTTCAGTTTGTGGCCAGCACAATTCCAATCATTCCCCTCTCTAGAACATAACAATCACACACCACATAATTCATCTTTGAGCTGGCAAAAATTTAGTGTCAGGATTCCAACAGATGCCCTAATTAAATCAGCAGTCTCAAGCCAAGCTGCAAAAAAAATCCAGTTATTTATTAGGAGCTTCCTGTCGTTATTTATTAAAATACATAAAATATGATTAACTAGCAAAATGGTCTGTGTTTAAAAACCCCAGTTACTTCTTAGGTTTTTTTTTGTTTTGCTTGTCTTTTGATAGTTCTTAAAGGACCTTCTGAAACAACTTCATTAAAATGCTATCCAACTATAAATTGGAGGGGCATCAAGATGTTTAAATTTATAACTGGAACAGTGGGGATTGTGTAAAGAGTCAGAACACACCATTACAGCTGATTGATTAAAGAGAGCTGGCTACTGCATGAGGCAATCTAAGCTGTGATTGGTTGCCTTGAGTGAAAAGGGGGAATTTCCTTCTTTCCTGCCTTTTTGCCATCTGTGCTCTCTTAAAACTGGTGCCTGCATTTCTCCTGCTGTTCTCCTCCAAATCCTCTCTAGGAATCTATTGCTCAAATATTTAAACTCTTTTGCCCTCAATTACCAACACTTTGCTGTACTCTATTCTCTAGTTGTCTATTGTGGCTGTTGCTTATCTATAGTGTGCCATTTAGTGACATAGAGCTGAAAACCATGTTGTTCCATCTCTACCTAAGACAGTTACAGTATTTTTTTCATTGATTATGCACCATCAAGTCATTTTCATCCATTGATCATATCGATAAGACTTTCTCCATGATGATTGTTCCTAACTTGCTTATTCAGGCCAGTGATGGGATTCAAATTTTTTTACTACCGGTTCTGTGGGCTTGGCTTGATGGGTGTGGCAGGAGAAGGATACTGTAAAACCTCCAGTGAGAGGTGAAATTTGCCGGTTCTCTGAACTACTCAAAATTTCTGCTACCGGTTCTCCAGAACTATTTGGAACCTGCTGAATACCACTTTTGATTCAGGCCTCCAAAGGATTCATTCATCACCACAGAAAAAGAGCAAGAAGCAACAACCACACCAAGGGAAGAAGAAGAAAAAGGAGGGGACTATTGCTAGCTTGCTAGCTTGATACCATTAATAATGGAACATGCAACATTAATTCCCTATCAGTATTATTTTCCCCAGCACCAAGTTAGCCAGTTCAGCTTAGCAACTCGCACATTTGAATAATGGTTGCCTCAGGGAGAGCAAGGGGATTCAGGTAGTTAAGGAAAGCAGTTGCACTTAAAAGTCATTGCAACATGCAAATATAATCGCAAGGCCCATAATAGTTGTATCTTGAGGACTACTTTTATGCTGGCTGGGGAATTCTGGAGCTTATAATCTTGGTGAAACCCAAGTAAAAGACTGAAACTCCACAAGTGGGTCCATAATCAACATACAAAAGCACCATCCAAAATTCCTTTTTGAGGAATTCCACTTTTTCTGCAAAAGGAAATACCTAGAAGATTCTGCTAATAACCAGAAAATTGCAGTGAACCATTTCCCACTTTCCTGTTCTTTCCATCTATAGGTTTAACCCTGAGAAAACGTTGAATACAAAAAAACAGGCCAGAAATCAGTCAATTTCTCATCTACACTTTGTGAATGGGAGATCACAAATGACATTCAATCCTTCTCTATAAACTCTTCAACTTTTGCCTCATGTGGATTTCCTTGTGTGCACTAAGGGATGATTTATACTTGAAGTAAAGATCACAGACTGGACATTTGAAGGTTTCCCCACAGTGTGAGTACTCTGGTGTATTAACATGTAGGAATTCCGACTGAAACTTTTCCCACAATCAGGACATTCAAAGGGTTTCTCTCCTGTATGAGTCCTCTGGTGTATTACCAGGTAGGAATTCTGACTGAAACTTTTCTGACAATCAGGACATTCAAAGGGTTTCTCTCCTGTGTGCGTCCTCTGGTGTCTCATGAGGTGGGAGTTCTGACTAAAACGTTTTCCACAGTCAGGACATTCAAAACGTTTCTCTCCTGTGTGAGTCCTCTGGTGAGTCATGAGATGGGAATTCTGACTAAAACCTTTTCCACAGTCAGGACATTCAAACAGTTTTTCTCCTGTGTGAGTCCTCTGGTGAGTCCTGAGGTGGGAATTTTGACTGAAATTTTTCCCACAAATAGGACATTCAAAGGGTTTTTCTCCTGTGTGAGTCCTCTGGTGTATTATCAGGCAGGAATTCTGACTGAAACTTTTCTCACAGTAAGGACATTTGAAGTGTTTCTCTCCTGTGTGAGTTGTCTGGTGTTTCACCAGGCTGGAATTATCACGAAAACTTTTCCCGCAGATAGGACATTCAAAACGTTTCTCTCCTGTGTGTGATCTCTGGTGTCTCATGAGGTGGGAATTCTGACTAAAACGTTTTCCACAATCTGGACATTCAAAGGATTTCTCTCCTGTGTGAGTCCTCTGGTGCCTCACCAGCGTGGAATTATCACTAAAACTTTTCCCACAGATAGGACATTCAAAGGGTTTCTCTCCTGTGTGAGTCCTCAGGTGTATTACCAGGTGGGAACTCTGACTGAAACTTTTCCCACATTGATGACATTCAAAGGGTTTCTTGCCTGTGTGAGTCTTCTGGTGTCTCACCAGTGTGGAATTATCACTAAAACTTTTCCCAGACATAGGACATTCAAAACGTTTCTCTCCTGTGTGAGTCCTCTTGTGTCTCATGAGGTCGGAATTTCTAATGAAACACTTCCCACAATCAGGACATTCAAACGGTTTCTCTCCTGTGTGAATCTTCTGGTGTATTACCAGGTTGGAATTCTCACTGAAACTTTTACCACAGATAGGACATTCAAAGGGTTTCTCTCCTGTGTGAGTCCTCTG